ACAATCCAGCATATTGGATCTGGCTGACCGAGCTGCAGCACTTGTACCGATTTGTTCCTGATGACATCGTAAAAATGGCTGGCGAGGGCATCGCATGGAAGACCGCCTGTTTTCACGAGGTAGTGGGTAGCTTGGCGGGAGAAGCGCTCTCCAGCCACGAAACATTTCCGGGATGCGGATCGGCCGCCAAATCCAGAGGCGACATGGAGGGCGCATTGGAGTTCGGCAGTCAATGTACCGGTAATGTCGGAGTTGATCCTGTTGTCTTCAACATGGCCATGACCCGGATAGCAGCACCGCCAGTAGAATCCCAAACTGGGAAAATAGTTGGCTTCGCGAGCGTGTTTCCAAGAGCTGGGTCGAATGACACCGTCCGTGAGGATCCCTTGAAGAGAAACTGGTGGGCAATTGTGAACAAAGGTGTAAACGGACTGGTGCTGGGTCAAGCGGAAGTACTCGGATTTGGGGTAGTCCAACTTGAGCAGCAAGATAAGAGAATTGTGGCATGGAAGTTTGCCCCATAGGAATATGGGGTTGCGTTCAATGATGCGGGGCACGTGGGCGATGTGATTCATAAAGTTGCCGAAGTGCTCGCTCCAAGATGTAGGAGGAATTCGACGAAGAGGTACAGGAAGGAGGCGAATGAGCTCTTGGATGGTGGTGTCCACGAGAGTGCGGGGTAGAACCTCAGGGGCCTCGCATTCCTCCCAGCTGCAGGGACGAGAGGGGTCATTGATGAGCTCGTCACGGTATTGGTCGACGGTACTGAGAAAGTCAGACCATTCATGAAAGCCATGTTCATGAATATCCAGCCAAAGGTCAAGAGGTCCCGTAGGGCGAATGTGAAGCCAGAAAGGTGTAGTCCAAATGTGTTGTTGGGGACCGGGACTAAGGCGGATTTCAGCAATGTCCCCCATCAAATAGGGCTGAAGTAGTGGTGGCTTCGCCGATGGTAGCGGTGAGTTCAGTGGGTGGAGGTTGGGGTGGATCTGGTACTGGAGGGCCGCTGGCAATCTCCGTGGAGGATTGGTTGAAGGCAATGCGGAGGTGTCTGGGTTGTCTCCACTGTAATCAACATCATCGTGCGATCTGGAGGCTGTGCCGAATTCACGTCGTCGGCGATGTGCTCGATGTGATTCCGGAGAGGGAGCTCGCCATGACAAGGTAGCAAGGACGGATGAATGCGAAGAAGTCAACAATCCAAATGGAGAAAATGTCCAAAGTTAACAAAGCTGAGAAAAAGTTGGTCGAAGAAGATAAAGTCTAGAGATGGAAAACATGGTCATACCAAATTGAATCAGATTGGCTGGAGCCCCAGGACATATAAATCAAATCAAGATCAAAGCATGGCCGACAAAGTGTAAGGAAAGGTGCGATCGGTCGAATAAATCGGTGAGAGCGCAGTAGATTTTCCTGGGCGGGAAGACGGAGTAGAGTGAAACATAAAGTCTAAGAAATGGTCGACCGAGGTCGAGACTGGGATCGAGAACGAGCGGTCAGAAGGGTTCGTGGTACTGCACTGGGAGGAGGTGGTCCAGAAGAAGGAGGAGCTCGAACAAAGGTATTGTGGGCTCTGGTAGTCGAAGGCGAAGTCGACATAGAAGGCACGTCAGGAGGAAAGGAGTGATGAGGTTGGCCCTCAAAGACGGGAATGCCATGAACTGTAGTAACGGTAGTAATCGTAGAGAAGTGGTAGAAAGAGGTAAACGGTCGGCAAAGTCTGTACGACCCTGAAGTTCAGCTTCAAGTTGTTCCGGGCTGTGGTGCAGAATATGAAGTAGGCCCAAGGCGGTGAGGAGCTTTTGGGTGTAGTGAAGGGCGGTATGGTTGACGCGTAGTGCAAGCAACAAGGTATTGTCCAGACTCCAGACCCTGAAGTTGAGCGCGAAGATGTGGATGAGTCACACGATCGAGAAGCGGAGGGGAATGAAGAGCGAGGGGTTGTTGAAGAATGGTGTGGATGTGGGCCAAGGAAGCATGTACGTGAAGAAGTTCCCGATGTAGGACTGCCGGTGCCACAATAGGAATGCCTGGTGTCGGAGCGAGGCCACAAGGCGGGGGAGTCGTACCGGACATGGCTCGAGGCAGGTCTATAGAAAGCAGGTCGAAACGGATCGAATCGTACGGTGTACTCAGAGCCAAGGAAGATGAAAACAGAGAAATCAAAAGTGTGAAATGAGTGGGTACGTAAGTATCAAAAAAGAAGTGAGGAATGGAAAACTTTTTGATCGAACGCCGAGTGGAGGCTGGATGAGACCTATAGGAAGCGAAGGAGACCGGGATCGAGAGCGCGTCGTCCTCGTGAATGTCGTAGCTGGGCGTGACACCGAAGTAGCGGAGTGGAGGCGGAAGGGTGTAGTCATAACAGGAGGGCGTGGTCCAGTGGTAGGTGTCAAAGTAGGCGTCAAAGGATCGGGTAAGGAAGAAGGAGGGGAGAAGGTCAAAGGTGGTGGGGAGGAGAAAGGAGATGTAGACGGAATTGGTGGATCCAAGAAGGTAGTCTGGCCGCGAAGCTCTGCAATCAATCAGGTGTGATCTCGGTCGAAATGAGTAAGGCTGAGTAAGGTGTAGCAAGCCAAGAGCAATGAGAAGTTGTTCCGTGTAGGCGAGAGTGGTGCAGGTGGCTCGTTTGGTCTGATCGATGCTGGCGTCCATTCCCCGAAGGTGAGCAAGAAGACGAGGACAGGTAATGGTGTCCGCGAGGGGAGGAGCTAAAGTGTCCCAGGGTCCTTGTAGAATAGTGAGAATCAGCTGCAGGGACGAGTGTATGTGACAAAGTTCACGATGTAGTACGGCTTGAGCTGCAATAATAGGTAATCCTTCAATGGGTGCGAGTCCTGCAGGAGGAGAAGGCGATGTATGGGTTGGTGGATTCATAGGTGTCGAAGTCGAAGAAGACATGGCGGCGACGGCGAATGGACGGCGAGCGGGCGAGCGAGGGAGGAGGAAAGCCTAGAGAATAAACCGTGAGGAACGAGCTAGAGCCAAGGGGAGAACTGAATGAGGGTGAGATCAAATGCAACGGCATCAATAACTTGAATCAATAAAGTGACAAAAGGAGGAAATGGGTGCTTTTCTAAAAGGCGGTCCAATCGAAGTAGGGGGTGAAACTAGGTATCCCGCGGGCTCAATCGAGGACGAGAGCGAGAGCGGGAGCGATTCATATAGTGGCTCTGATCTCAGCGTGAGAGAGAGGTCGAGTCGAAGTGGCAACGACGAAACCACGTGAAGGTCGTGTAGTAGAGGGCGTCCTCGTTGTCAGTGTGTCATCATCATCCGGGGTGATGGTGGTAGTAGTCGAGCCCCTCGCCGAATAAGATCCTGAAGCTGGGGGACAAAATTGGAGGATGAGGCGAAGGAAGACGAGGGTCGCGGAAGGTGGTAGTACCACGTAGTTCTGCCTCTAATTGGGCAGTGTCAAAATTCAAATCGTGGATCAAGCCAAAGGTGGTCAGCAGCTCTTGAGTGTAGTGGAGACCAGTATGTATGGCTTGAGTCGCTTGTCGAATTGCAGAGTCAAGTCCACGAATTTGTACCTGAAGGTGGGGCGATGTAACGCAGTCCAAAAAGGTAGGAGAAAGGATGGCAAGTCGAGTACGAAGAAGGGAAGTAGTGAGGTCCAACAAGGCGTGTACGTGAAGAATCTCACGATGTAGAACGGCCTGAGCCCTCATCGGTATGCCTTCCATTGGGGCAAGTCCGGCAGGAGAAGGAGACATGGCAGGAGGGAAAGTGCTCACCGCCTGGAATACTAAGGCTCCAACAGGTTCCAATGAACCTTAAACTTGCTTTGACCGCTGTGGTCACCTTGTGCCCTGCCGAAATGGCTGGCCGCTTTGACCGCTGCGGTCACGTAAAGGCATGAGCCAACTTGGAATTCCAAAAATGAGACAAACATCTGAGTTCTCTCGGCCTATAGGCCACCTACGCTCGCTGCGAGCTGATCTGTATCCGGGCAATGGATACGTTCGACAGACACCCGTTCGACGGGTCCACGGGAGGCACTCTACGGGCTCATCCCGGACTGGCGCGAGGCCAGACACACTTATGGATATGCGTACTGACTGGACAGCGGCGCCACACGCCGGCCTAGGGTACCAATTCCTAAGAGTACAGGTAAGGAAACTTGAAAAGGAAACGGAGGTCCATCCAGTGGAGGTCCAGCAGGTTTCAGGTGGCCAGCAACTCCAGAAACACCGATCGAGCGGACGACAAGGTGACGACGTGCGTGCAGAAAAAGCCAAGTTCATCACCGCTGCATTAGCCCTTTACTGAAGGAAACAACGAAGTAGACAGCTTGTGCTCTACGTAGGTTTCTCTCCCAGCAGGTACGTCAATCCGGCGCCCCGGATTGATTTCACAGATGCAACACTGGCGTCTTCGTTGGTGCCAGTCCAGTGTGCATCCCTGGCGCCCCCTGCTGAAAAACGAGAAAAACACAATCCGACTGTGTCTCTTGCCGGGGTAATTATACATGCAATATCACAGTGTGTTTCCAAAACCCATGGCGGTGCACTGTCTTGACAACAACCGAACCTCTGTCCCGACAAACCACAAGGCCACGCGCAATCTCCTATAGGGCTGGTTCCTACCCCGCATCGAACCCTTGCAAGAGCCTTGCAAGTCTCACCTTGACTCATTGTTCTGCAAGAACGGCCCGTTTTGCAAAATTGTAGATTACAGTGCCCAGTAAATGAAAGGAGACCTTGGGTTTTCTCCCAGGCGGTGTCTTTGCTTCGGATCGAACACGTTAGTTCTTCCCAGGCGCTAGAGCGTGAATCTGCAAAAGCGCCGGTACTTGCAGTCTTGTTTTCTGTGGACAAATTTTGAACATCGCCGGATAAATGCAAAGGTGGCTTTCCAAAACATATTGCGCATACAATTGATCGATGGACTTGTTGTGGTAGTGAAGTCCTGGCATGCAACTTATCATATTTCCCCAGCGAGCCATGAGCTGACCAGACCAGAGCCGAGATTTTTTGATTAAATTTGGCCATCAGGAGAAGTGCCAACAAAACAAGGCCAGCTTCAATCTCTTGGCACTGTATCCAGGCTTGAAATGTCACGCAAACAAAAGTCCTAGAGTCCTAGGCGCAAAAGCGTCGCAGGTGAGGACCGTGAGTCGACTTAGCGAGTGCAATCCATAGGCTTACCCGCCCACGCCTGACAGGAAAGAAGTCAAACGACCGGGGCGACAGCTTTGGCCTTGGACACAGGCAAGGCTTCCACTGCAAACGCCTGAGCTTGATAAGGTTGTCGCCAATTCGCTTCCCGGAGCTTCCTATTCTCATTGCGGATCATGAAGACCACGCTGCGCGCTCAGTTCTTGAATGGTTGAGCCGTGTCATCCATCCACGCGCCCATCTGTCTGTAGGGCGCGCAAAAAAAAAATATATGTATAGTAGAATATTATGCATATATGTTGTATTATATACAAATACAAAAACTAGACGACGAGTGGCCCGAAAGCGTTTTTCATCACGTAGGAAGTCAGAGTGTGAGTTATCTGTTAAGTGTGCAGTGTGAAGTGTTAAGTCGAGTGAGTTGAGGTAGTGTGTGGGTCTCTGTGTGTGTATCTATGTCCGTGTGTATATGAGTCTCTGTCTGTGTGTGCGTCCGAGTAAGTTGAGGCAGTGCGTGGGTCTCTGTGTGTGATGTGTGTGTGTATGAGTCCCTGTCTGTGTGTGTATGTCCATGTCTGCTGCTGGTGAAGGTCTTCACTGCACATATAGTGAACGAATTAGCAAGCAGGCCTCCCAAACCCCGCACCGGCGGCCAAGCGGTGACAGCCCAGCTCATCGTCGTGAGCATTTGGGCTGCTGGTAAGGGGAGAAGCAGCGTGCACGCCTCCAGGGGATCTCACTGAAAAAAGCAAGCTGGAATGAAGCGTACTAAAGTTGTACTACAAAGTCGCCAGTTCTCATCTTCCAGCTCCACAGATTGCTCCGCGTACTAAAGTTCTACTACCAAGTCGCCAGTTCTCATCTTCCAACTCCCCAGATACTCCGCGAACTCAAGTTGTTCTACCAAGTCGCCAGTTCTCATCTTTAGTTGTCCGGATACTCCGCGTACTAAAGTTGTACTACCAAGTCACCAGTTCTCATCTTCCCACCCCCCAGATACTCCGCGTACTAAAGTTGTACTACCAAGTCGCCAGTTCTCATCTTCCAGCTCCCCAGCTACTCCGCGTACTACAGTTGTACTACAAAGTCGCCAGTGCTCATCTTCCAGCTCCCCAGATACTCCGCGTACTCAAGTTGTACCACCAAGTCGCCAGTTCTCATCTTCCCACTCCCCAGCTACTCCGCGTACTAAAGTTGTACTACCAACTCGCCAGTTCTCATCTTCCAGCTCCCCAGCTACTCCGCGTACTAAAGTTCTACTACAAAGTCGCCAGTTCTCAGCTTCCAGCTCCACAGATTGCTCC